ACCATAGAACAGATTATTAAAAAATTGGCTTAATCACAAAGCAGGTTAAAATTTTAACTATGAATGATATTTTGATTAGCTTTTTAAATCTTCATAAAGTTTATATTTTATTCTATTGTGAACAGTATTATATTCGCTTTTAAATATTTTATATTTTCCAATATTTTATTATATGTTCAAAATTGTCATCTAATATAATTAGATTTAATAAATTCTATAAAAATAATTTCAATTATAAAAATTCACCTCCCCCCTCCCCTTCCCCCATTCATAGAAAATTCTTGCCTAGACCCTGTAGTATTTTTTGAATGTTATTTATATTTTTCCAAATATGTAAATTGACTAATATTATATATACGTTAAATTGTTGTGCAATATAAATATTATAAATATAATCTTCTAAATATTTTTAGTATTTTATTACATTGATTTGTTATAAATGCTGACATTTGTTGACATATCAGAATTAATCCCTTTTTGCCGATAAACATGCATTTAAATAATTTTAAATTTCAAATCTTAATAAATTTTTCTAAAATACATGCCATTCAAGTAAATTATATAATGCTTTATATTTAATCAATTTATGTAAAGGTAGCACATTTTAATAGCAATTTCGCCTCAATTTGCAAAGTTCATCGAAAAATTTATCCTCGTTTTTATCCCACTGTTTTAGTTAATTCAGATGGGTCTTCATACAATATAAGGTATTTTGAACCTAGGAAAATTATTAAAGTATTTAAGAAGTTTGTTAAAAAATATTTATTAATATTTAAAGTTACCACTGGATCTTACAACCTTGTCTGATGAAGAGAAGCAAATTAGGTTAGCTAAGATGAGACCAAAAATTGTTTTAACTCACAAAGAAGAAATATCAAACAGAATTTCCTCCATGAAATATGTTGATATTATGAAATCGAAAACTTGACAAATATTTTCTCAAGTTTAAAGAAACTTTTAGTGAATACAAATAAATTATTTATTATAATATAATTCTTATTTAAATTGTGAGTAAATGTTTTTAATGCAATAATAACATATATATATATTTAAAAAACACTTTTCAGCCAAGTAGTATATAAAATCTAAATTTTAATTGTAAGTTTTTATGTCAATAGATAAATGACAGGAATTCCTTTAACACAAACTGAGATATCTAATTTTATAAAATATTATTATTCTAATTAATTTGATTTGTAATTTCCCTATAAAGGATAACTTTATATTTGTAACCAAAACCTGGGTACCCTTAGAATCAGAAAAAATCTGGTAACTAAACCAGAACCTGATACTTTTTCTTAAAATTTATAAGAACCAGAAACCAAAATATTTTCCAAGGAACTAGATCTATTATGTATTTTGTAAGAAATGTTGGACATCATTTTTAAAATGTTTTTTTGATTGCTTTAACAGAATTTGTGTCTAATTATCATATTTTCTATTTATAATGCAATAATATTTTTATAAATTCTTTCCTTGATTTCATTTAAAAAATTTTTTTTGCAAATAGATATTGCACTATATATTATATATAATTTATTAAATACCAGGGATGTGAACCCTTCGACAAAAAAAGGGTCTGGGTCGGGTCCGGTAATAAATTTAAAAAGGATCCGGGTTCGGGTCCAGGTTCAGAGGAAACATAAAAATAATGACTCAAAATAAGACTTTTTTTCATTCATTTTTTAGTATACTTCAATATATACACATTTATAATTCGAAATGAGATAATTTATATTTAAAATATTTTATTCAATTGCACAATCATGATATCTTCTAAAATATCATCTTCAGATTTCCACGTAAATTAGTCAACGATGAAAATCCACGTTCTACGCTTACCTAAAATAGATAGTCATTTTTATAATACATAAATTATTGTACTTGTGTCGCCGGTAGAGCCATGACGATTCTATAAAAGGTATATAATTCTGGATATATTGAAGAATTTTCCTCCCAGAATTTTAAAATGTATGCGTCTCTATTTATTCTCATAACTCTGAGAACTTTTCTATTAAAGATACAATAGATATTTTTTGCTCCTTTCTATCAGATGATAATTTAATTTTTTTTTCTCTATCTAATAGTAAAATTTCCAGATCATCAATATCGTTATCATTATCATGTTATCGCTACAACCAGTAGATATTGTTGTAACCACCAACGTATTATAAATAGTAGAGTTTTGGGTATTACATAAATCTTCAAGATGGTCTATAGCCATTTGTTTTTGCTCACTACTTAAAAAACCTTATATCGCAGGTCTAAATATATCGAAGCATATACAACACTATTTTGTAAATATTGTTGCTCTCTTATTTTCGTATTTTCTAATACTTCATTTGAAAAAGAACTTGTTAATCTCCTTAACTCTAATCGACATCTTAACCATATGCCATAAAAATCCGATAAACATAATTGTTCAGCTTGCACTCTTAATGTTGTTATTTTTAAAGGAACCAGCACACTAGTAAGCTCTTTTACTTGATTCTAATCATCTTCTGACAAAATGATTTCACATGCTCCTATGATAAAATCATTACAGAAATCTTTCAAACTTAATAATCACTCTAGCATCATACACATAGAGGACCAACGTGTTGTGCAATCTAAAATTGCCATTTACCTTTTCATGAATTTTAATATTCTAACAATTGTGGGAGTTCTTAAATATTTTACAACATCCCTTGCTTTATCAATTATAGTTTTAAAGTGACTATTTTTTAAGGAGATTCCACAAAAAAATTAATAAAATTATAAAAATTTTATATTATTTTTTAAAAATTATATTTTTACATTAATTTAAAAAAAAAAATTTTAAGTTAAAAATTTTTAACACCCTGAACCCTTGGACCCTCCACTTTTTAAAAGGGTCCGGGTCTGGGTTCAGCCAAAATACGAGGGTTCAGGGTCCAGGTTCACATCCCTGTTAAATACATCAAAATTTCTCAAGGTGACTTATTGTGTTAAGTTATTAATAAATATAAAAATTATAAATATTAGTCAGTGTTGTTAACACTACTTTTAAAAGTATCACACTATTTTAAAAATTATAAACTAAAGCTACTTTTTATGCTACTTTACAATTTTTTTAAAATATTTTTTACGTATTACTATTTCCTCAAATAAAATTAATTTTTTTAATTGTGTTTCAATAATACTCTACTATCATCCCAAAGTCTAGAAAAACAATCAGAGAGTATGAGTTCTGCCGGCCTAAATAATCGTTCAATACTAGCACTTGAGGGCAATGCAGTATTAAATTTAATATACATATTTTTTTAATATAAGAAAAATCATCAAAAAAGTTTATTTGAGTATTTTTAGTTTTAAAAAACTTGCTTATAAAGGTTCAAAAGTTTTATTATCTATTTTTTATAAAAAAATCATCTATACTATGTGATGTTTTTGATCTGGCTAGGTTATCCTGGTTTGATATAGTATTATTTAACGTTACCATTAGCCTATCAAGTTGCTCTTTGGATTCAATCAAAATCAAATTAATATATAGCAAATTCAACTTGAAACTAAGGTAAACAAAAGCAGCTATGTTTTACATCCAGATAAAAATTTATAAAATAATATCATTAAATTAGATGAGCCTGATGATAAAATGAGATGTTAATATTAATTATTTAATGTTATTTTTTAATTTATAAAATTCTTAGATAATTGTGGAGCGCTACTTTATACAACACTGATATTAGTTATTTAGTAATGAATACTAGAAACCTTTCAATTTCGGGATATTTTTACATATCCATCATCTATATAATTAGAATATCTTACAATCACTATGCCATTTTTAAAGTTTAATATATAATATGGATATAAAATAAATATCAAATATACCCTAATTTGATGATTAGTTATAGTTAGTCATTTCGATTTTATTTGCATTTATTTAAAAAAATCAAAAATTTAAAAAAGAGGTTTTTTGAAATGAAGCATTTTGAGCAAAAAAAAAATCATAAATTTTTTTTATTTGTTTTACCTGCTCATTTTTATTTTATCAAATAAATAGTTCATATGAAAGCGTATACTAAATTATGATTGATATGTTTTTCCTATATATTGAATCTAAACATGTGGAAACAATTATGTTTGTGTAGCACATCAATTCTGGGCCGACGATATATCCCTTATTTTATTATATAGATATTTAGGCAACACCACTGAAATATTCTTTAAGTTTGTAGATGGCCATCAGATCGAATTTCTGCCTAAAAAGATGGAGAAATTATGTGCTATGATATTTTTGTACTATATTTATTGCATCTCAAATTGATATCTTTTAAATGTTATATTTATTGAATAGAAGAGTAAAGTTATTTAAAGGAAAACTTTTTATATAGGGATTGGTATCTATAAATACTGGGATTGATCACATATAAGTATTATATAAGAGATTATGATATCCTCAGACTTATTCTAATCCCCCAAAACAGAGATATAGAGCAGCTCTTTACCTTATCCTTAAACCATTATTTAACAAAAACGCTTCAAGTCAATTACAAATAGATAGCGATCTCTCTATTTTTTATCGATACGGTAGTTTCTGAACAAGGCTTATACAAAGAAAAACTAGGTTTATTGTATCTGTATAATAAATTAATTGTTTTATATATCATTAATAGGTATAATAATATTAGATATATTTATATAAGATTAAGAAAGAATTACAGATTAAAAATAATTAATTAATTAATCAAATCGTCATTTATAATTTTGAGTTGAGATATATCCACTTAAATAAAGAAAGATTTGAAGTTTAAAAATAAAATAGATATTAAAGATCTTGATGGGTGTATGAGTCGTTCCTCTTAATTTTAGATCCATCGAGTGGGGCTTGGTTTACATTTGCGTCGACTAATACCTTTACCCTTCTTGTATCTGTATTGGCAATTTTTCCCACAGAATGTACATTCAGGCTCTAAAGCGTTATATTAGTTTATTATTTAAAAAAATAGTTGAATTATAATAGAATTATCTGTTATTTTTCACCAGCTTAAATCAATATTCGATAGAAAAAGAGTTATACCATCTGGCTTAGGTTTGCATTTGCATGACGGGCAAATACCATCACCTGTTTCGAGTCCATATTGGCAATATATCCTACACAATGGACATACAGGCTCTAAAGAGATTTATTAGTTAATTTTAAAAATAGTTGAATTATAACAGAATATGTTTTATCTTCAGAAAAAATAATATTTTTTTAAAAAATAATTATACCATCTGGCTTCGGTTTGCATTTACAGAGCGGACAAATACCTTCACCTGTTTCAAATCCATATTGGCAATTAATCCCACACAATGGGCATTCAGGCTCTAAGGAGATATAAATTTTTTTTAAATAAGTTGAATTATAATACAAATTTGTGTATTTTTATTAGAGTTAGAAATATATTGGATCGTAAAAATAGTTATACCATCTGGCTTAGGTTTGCATTTGCATAATGGGCAAATACCATCACCTGCTTCAAAACCATATTGGCAATTGATTCCACATAATGGACATTCAGGTTCTAAGATATAAGTTTTTTTAAATAAGTTGAATAATACAAATTTGGGTATTTTTATTACAGTTAAAAATAATATTCGATGGAAAAATAGTTATACCATCTGGCTTAGGTTTGCATTTGCATAGCGGGCAAATACCTTCACCAGTCTCAAATCCATATGGGCAATTTATCCCACACAACGGACATTTAGGCTCTAAAGAGTTAAAACAGTTTTAATAAAAAAAAGTTGAATATAACACAATTTTGTGTCATTTTTCTGATAGCTAAAATAATATTTGATCGAAAAATCGTCCAATTAATAACATAAGTTGATGTCTTTTTTAGGCTAAGTAATATTCAGATGAAAAAAAATACCATCTGGCTTAGGTTTGCATTTGCATAACGGGCAAATACCATCACCTGTTTCGAATCCATATTGACAATTTATTCGACACAAAGGACATATAGGCTCTAAGGATATGGAATAGTTTATATTAAAAATAGTTGAATTTAAAATAGCTTTATTTATCTTCAGCTAAAATAATATTCGTTTAATAAATAGTTATACTATCTGGCTTAGATTTGCATTTGCAAGACAAGCAATTGCCTTCAGCTTTCTCGAATCCATATTTGCAAGTTAAATAACACACTGGATAACAGAGATCTAATGAAATGTATTAGTTTATTTTTTTAAATAGTTAAATTAAAATATAGTTTTATTGATCTTCAGCTATAATAATATTCGTTTAAAAAATAGTTATACTATCTGGCTTAGGTTTGCACTTGCATGACGGGCAATTGCCTTCACCTTTCTCAAATCCATATTGGCAATTTATAGAGCACAATGGACATTCAGGTTCTAAGAAAATGTATTAGTTTATTTAAAAAAATTTTGAATTAAATAAGAGTTTTATTTATCTATAGTAATGTTAAACGCCACATTTTGAGCCGATTTTTAAAAATGGCTAACTCAATATTTTATCCGGAAACAATATTATGCAAGGATTTTGCTCATAGTTGACACAAAGGTTTGGAAATATATAAACAATATATAGAGGCTTAGACAATATTTTTCTGGCTAAAACAGTTAGCTGTTTTATAAATCGGCTCAGAGCCGTTTAGCAACACTAATCTTTGGCTAAGATAATATTCGCGTAAATAGTTAAACTAACTAACTTAGGTTTGCATTTGCGTGACGGGCAATTGCTTTTTCTCAAATCCGTTTATTTTAAACAAAGTTAAAATAGATTTTTATTTATCTTCAGAAATTAGCTCAGATATTATATTACCTGGCTTAGGTTTGCATTTGCATGACGGGCAATTGCCTTCACCTTTCTCGAATCCATATTGGCAATTTATATAGCATACAGGACAAACTGGTTCTAAGGAAATATGTTAGTTTATTTTTGAAAATGTTAAATAAAATAGAGTTTTATTATTCTTCAGCATAAATAATATGAGCTATAGTCATACTACCTGGTTTAGGTTTGCATTTGCAAGATGGGCAATTGCCTTCACCTTTCTCGAATCCATATTGGCAATTTATATAGCACACAGGACATACAGGTTCTAAGGAAATATTAGTTAATTTTAAAAAAAAGTTGAATAAAATAGAGTTATATTTATCTAAATAGTTGTATACCTGGCTTAGGTTTGCATTTACATGATGGGCAATTGCCTTCACCTTTCTCGAATCCATATTGGCAATTTATATAGCACACAGGACATACAGGTTCTAAGGAAATATTAGTTAATTTTAAAAAAAAGTTGAATAAAATAGAGTTTTATTTATCTTCAGCATAATTAATATTAGCTTAGATAGTTGTAAACCTGGCTTAGGTTTGCATTTACATGATGGGCAATTGCCTTCACCTTTCTCGAATCCATATTGGCAATTTATATAGCACACAGGACATACAGGTTCTAAGGAAATATATAAGTTTATTTTAAAAAATGTTGAATAAAATAGAGTTTTATTTAACTTCAGCATAAATAATAATAACTTAGATAGATATACTACCTGGCTTAGGTTTGCATTTGCATGATGGGCAATTGCCTTCACTTTTCTCATATCCATATTGGCAATCTATATAGCACACAGGACATACAGGCTCTAAAGGAAATGTATTAGTTTATTTTAAAAAAAGTTAAATATAATAGAGTTTTATTTATCTTCATCATAAATAATATTAGCAAAGATAGTTATTCTACCTGGCTTAGGTTTGCATTTACACGATGGACAATTGCCTTCACCTTTCTCGAATCCATATTGGCAATTTATATAGCACACAGGACATACAGGTTCTAAGGAAATGTAATAGTTTATTTTAAAAAAAGTTGAATAAAATAGAGTTGAATTTATCTTCAGCATAATTAATATTAGCTTAGATAGTTGTATACCTGGCTTAGGTTTGCATTTGCATGACGGACAATTGCCTTCACCTTTCTCGAAACCATATTGGCAATTTATATAACACACAGGACATACAGGTTCTTAGGAAATGTAATGGTTTATTTTTTAAAAAGTTGAATAAAATAGAGTTTTATTTATCTTCAGCATAATTAATATTAGCTTAGATAGTTGTATACCTGGCTTAGGTTTGCATTTACATGATGGGCAATTGCCTTCACTTTTCTCGAATCCATATTGGCAATTTATATAGCACACAGGACATACAGGTTCTAAGGAAATGTAATAGTTTATTTGAAAAAAAGTTGAATAAAATAGAATTGAATTTATCTTGAGCAAATATTAGCTTAGATAGTTATACTACCTGGCTTAGGTTTACATTTGCATGACGGGCAAGTGCCTTCACCTTTTTCGAATCCATATTGGCAATTTATATAGCACACAGGACATACAGGTTCTTAGGAAATATTTTAGTTTATTTTTAAAAAAGTTGAATAAAATAGTTAAATTTATCTTCAGCATAATTAATATTAGCTTAGATAGTCGTATACCTGGCTTAGGTTTGCATTTACATGATGGGCAATTGCCTTCACCTTTCTCGAATCCATATTGGCAATTTATATAGCACACAGGACATACGGGTTCTAAGGAAATGTATTAGTTAATTTTAAAAAAAGTTGAATAAAATAGAGTATTATTTATCTTCAGCATAATTAATATTAGCTTAGATAGTTGTATACCTGGCTTAGGTTTGCATTTACATGATGGGCAATTGCCTTCACCTTTCTCGAATCCATATTGGCAATTTATATAGCACACAGGACATACAGGTTCTAAGGAAATGTAATAGTTTATTTGAAAAAAAGTTGAATAAAATAGAATTGAATTTATCTTGAGCAAATATTAGCTTAGATAGTTATACTACCTGGCTTAGGTTTACATTTGCATGACGGGCAAGTGCCTTCACCTTTTTCGAATCCATATTGGCAATTTATATAGCACACAGGACATACAGGTTCTTAGGAAATATTTTAGTTTATTTTTAAAAAAGTTGAATAAAATAGTTAAATTTATCTTCAGCATAATTAATATTAGCTTAGATAGTTGTATACCTGGCTTAGGTTTGCATTTACATGATGGGCAATTGCCTTCACCTTTCTCGAATCCATATTGGCAATTAATATAGCACACAGGACATACAGGCTCTAAAGAAATGTATTAGTTAATTTAAAAAAGTTGAATAAAATGAGTTTTATTTATCTTCAGCATAAATTAATATTAGCTTAGATATTTATATTACCTGGCTTAGGTTTGCATTTGCATGACGGGCAATTGCCTTCACCTTTCTCGAATCCATATTGGCAATTTATATAGCACACAGGACATACAGGCTCTAAAGAAATACATTAGGTTATTTTAAAAATATTTGAATTAGAATAGAGGTTGTATTTATCTTCAGCATAAATAATATTAGCTTAGATAGTTATACTACCTGGCTTAGGTTTACATTTGCATGACGGACAATTGCCTTCACCTTTCTCGAATCCATATTGGCAATTTATATAGCACACAGGACATACAGGCTCTAAAGAAATGTTTTAGTTTATTTTTAAAAAAGTTGAATAGAGTAGTTATATTTATCTTCAGCATAAAATAATATTAGCTTAGATATTTATATTACCTGGCTTAGGTTTGCATTTGCATGACGGGCAATTGCCTTCACCTTTCTCGAATCCATATTGGCAATTTATATAGCACACAGGACATACAGGCTCTAAAGAAATACATTAGTTTATTTTAAAAATATTTGATTTAGAATAGAGGTTTATTTATCTTCAGCATAAATAATATTAGCTTAGATATTTATACTACCTGGCTTAGGTTTACATTTGCATGACGGACAATTGCCTTCACTTTTCTCGAATCCATATTGGCAATTAATATAGCACACAGGACATACAGGCTCTAAAGAAATACATTAGGTTATTTTAAAAATATTTGAATTAGAATAGAGGTTTATTTATCTTCAGCATAAATAATTATCGCTTAGATATATACTACCTGGCTTAGGTTTACATTTGCATGACGGACAATTGCCTTCACCTTTCTCGAATCCATATTGGCAATTAATATAGCACACAGGACATACAGGCTCTAAAGAAATGTATTATTTTTAAAAAAGTTGAATGAGTTTTATTTATCTTCAGCATAAATAATATATAGCTTAGATATTTATACTACCTGGCTTAGGTTTACATTTGCATGACGGACAATTGCCTTCACCTTTCTCGAATCCATATTGGCAATTTATATAGCACACAGGACATACAGGCTCTAAAGAAATACATTAGTTTATTTTAAAAATATTTGATTTAGAATAGAGGTTTATTTATCTTCAGCATAAATAATATTAGCTTAGATATATACTACCTGGCTTAGGTTTACATTTGCATGACGGACAATTGCCTTCACCTTTCTCGAATCCATATTGGCAATTTATATAGCACACAGGACATACAGGCTCTAAAGAAATGTATTATTTTTAAAAAAGTTGAATGAGTTTTATTTATCTTCAGCATAAAATATATTAGCTTAGATATTTATATTACCTGGCTTAGGTTTGCATTTGCATGACGGGCAATTGCCTTCACCTTTCTCGAATCCATATTGGCAATTTATATAGCACACAGGACATACAGGCTCTAAAGAAATACATTAGTTTATTTTAAAAATATTTGATTTAGAATAGAGGTTTATTTATCTTCAGCATAAATAATATATAGCTTAGATATATACTACCTGGCTTAGGTTTACATTTGCATGACGGACAATTGCCTTCACTTTTCTCGAATCCATATTGGCAATTAATATAGCACACAGGACATACAGGCTCTAAAGAAATGTATTATTTTTAAAAAAGTTGAATGAGTTTTATTTATCTTCAGCATAAAATATATTAGCTTAGATATTTATATTACCTGGCTTAGGTTTGCATTTGCATGACGGGCAATTGCCTTCACCTTTCTCGAATCCATATTGGCAATTTATATAGCACACAGGACATACAGGCTCTAAAGAAATACATTAGTTTATTTTAAAAATATTTGAATTAGAATAGAGGTTTATTTATCTTCAGCATAAATAATTATAGCTTAGATATATACTACCTGGCTTAGGTTTACATTTGCATGACGGACAATTGCCTTCACCTTTCTCGAATCCATATTGGCAATTAATATAGCACACAGGACATACAGGCTCTAAAGAAATGTATTATTTTTAAAAAAGTTGAATGAGTTTTATTTATCTTCAGCATAAATTATATTAGCTTAGATATTTATATTACCTGGCTTAGGTTTGCATTTGCATGACGGGCAATTTCCTTCACCTTTCTCGAATCCATATTGGCAATTTATATAGCACACAGGACATACAGGCTCTAAAGAAATACATTAGTTTATTTTATAAATATTTGATTTAGAATAGAGGTATATTTATCTTCAGCATAAATAATATTAGCTTAGATATATACTACCTGGCTTAGGTTTACATTTGCATGACGGACAATTGCCTTCACTTTTCTCGAATCCATATTGGCAATTAATATAGCACACAAGACATACAGGCTCTAAGGAAATATATTAGTTTATTTTAAAAATTGAATTAACATAGAGTTATCTATCTTCAGCTAAAATAATATATTCGTTTTTTTAATGAAAACTCCAATTAGTGTGTGTCTTGATATTCTCAAAATACGCTTTTTAGATTACTAAGATTTAAAAACAAATGTAGTCGGGCACTCATCTTTGTAAAAAATTTCTTATGAATCATAAACTATAACACAAAATATTTCGGTATTATCAAACAAAACTCATTATTAAATGCTACTAACAATATAAACATACGATAATTTTAAGAATTAAGTATATTTTATCAAGAGAAGATCTGATAATGATAAAATTATGCCATGAGAAGAAAAATTAGAATAAAATCTAATTCCTGAATTCTTTAGGAAAAAATAGAGGAATATTCTTCCACTTCAACAAGCTTTAACGAGACCTGGTAATACGGGTTCCGTACACCGAAAAATTATGTAGTAGGCTACACCCTTTTGAATCTTATAAACTGAAAAAAAATATTAATAAAAATATGGCCCTTACTTTGGCAAGAAATAATCAAATTGTCGTTTATTGTTAACTGTTTTACAAGAAGAAAAAAAGATAGATTAATTATCTTTATGATTTTTTATAATTTTATGGATCTCAAAGTAAGCCATGTGTTTTGCATTATAATTTATAATTAAAAGAAAAAAATTGGAAAAAAAAGGCGAGCGGCTGGCTATAGATTAACATAATGAGAACACGTCTAACCCATTTTGAAATAAGTAAAAATAAATGAAGGTCTTATCTTAAAGTTATTTTTTGTCAAATATTAGTATTTTCAAATTTTATAAAATACGACTTAATCTAATTATTTTAAAAAAAATTATTAATAAAATGCCAAATTTCATAAATAGAAAGGGACATGTTTTAGAGTTATAAAAATTTTAAAACGCTACGTTAGATAAATATAGAAACGTCAATTAGGGTGGTTCTCTGGGTTTTTTTGTTGCTAAATGAGTTACAATATTATTAGAGAGTCTAAAGAATTTCTTTAGAGAAATAGAGATCCGGTGGAAAAATATTATCGGCTTGGAACTTCTATGTAACAAATATATGGTTTCCGATATTTAAAATAAAATAAATAAAAGCATATTAATGAAGTACTCCTCCTTATTAGAAAATAAGTGGATAAGTAGCAAATAATTTTAAGACTCTATATTAATTATAACAACCATTTGTCAAATATAAATCACCATTGCGTACAGTGGCGTAGCTACGGGGGTGGTTTTCGGGTTTGGACCCCTTCCAGAGCAAATTTTTTTTAGATTATACGTTCAAAAGACTTAAAAGTGACTTTATATCAAATAAATGCCATTAATATTTATATTTTTCTGGTTTTGATGTTTGTGGAAGGATATTAAATTACTATTGAAATTATTCTGGGTAGTATTATTATAAAGAATAACATATCATTTTAAAAATATATTTATTATATATTGTCAAAGATGTGGTTATGATTTTTAGGACAAACCCGGCCGAAGGCCGGGCAAAAGGGCCGCAGGCCCGTTAAAGGAAGTCTGGGGGCGAAGCCATCAGGATTTTATATGTATGGACCCCCTCTAAGAAAAATTCCTAGCTACGCCACTGATTGCGTACGTGATAATGCATTCGCGATAATATTTACGCTGTGATGCATTCGCGATAATAATTTCGAGCTAATACCTTTCGCTAGGATGCATTCGCGATAATGCATTTGCTCTAATACATTCGCTATAATTCATTGGATGTTTTAATGGTAATGCATTCGTAATGCATTCGCGGCTATGCATTCACAACATTGACATGTAACCAAAATAATATTCATTTAAAAAAATAGCAATAGTTATACTATCTGGCTTAGGTTTGCATTTGCATGATGGGCAATTGCCTTCACCTTTCTCGTATCCATATTGGCAATTTTTATAACACAAAGGACACACAGGTTCTAAGAATATGTAATAGTTTATTTTGATAATAGTTGAATTGAAACAGAGTTGTTTTTTTAATATTTGCTAAAATAATATTCGTTTAAAAAATAGTTATACCATCTGGCTTAGGTTTGCATTTGCATGGCGGGCAAATACCATCACCTGTTTCGAATCCATATTGGCAATATATTTTACACAATGGACATACAGGCTCTAGAGAGATTTATTAGTTTATTTTAAAAATAGTTTAATTATAACAGAATATGTTTTATCTTCAGAAAAAATAATGTTCTTTTGAAAAATAATTGTACCATCTGGCTTAGGTTTGCATTTGCATAGCGGGCAAATACCCTCTCCCGTCTCAAATCCGTATTCACAATTAATACCACACAATGGACATTCAGACTCTAAGGAGTTATATTGGTTTTATAAAACAAGAGTTAAATATTTTTAAAAATTTCTTTTCTTTTTTTTCCAACTCAAATATTATACGATTAAAAAATAGTTTTGACTTAGATTTAAGTTTGCACAGATGACAGGTAGCGACAATTGACTCATATTCGTATATACAGTGCATCTTATATCTAAGCTCTAAAACATCTTTCTCAGTCAAAAATTAGATTTAAAAATAATTATACCTACTATATTCTAACCCCAGAATATCTAGTTTACATCTGCATGAGGGACAGTAGATGTAACCCTTCTCATAACTTATATGGTAATTTAAATCGCCGCAAAGTATGCAGAAAATATAGCATATTTCGTATACTTTGCCGCGTATTCGCGATCACTTTAAATGAGGTGCCATTCAAGGAAGAGCAATTTTTTTTCCTAAGCTATGTCCAAAATATATATATATGTGATATTTCCCAAACTTTAACTTTAGATTTCCTTAGGAATTTTAAAAAAACTTTTGAAATAGGCTTTGACCGTAACCTTATTAACCATTAGAGGGTAAATGTTAACTACGATGTGGAAAAATTTGGTCTGTCTTATGGTCAATAATTTGTAATGGAGGTATATATGTGAATGGCTAGCCAAACCATGATTTTATCATTGTTTAACAAAACATTATTTTCGTGGCAACACATATTAAGCTCCAATAAAATTAATACGATATTTTTTTAAAAAAATGCCGAACCCCCTATTTTAGAATTAATAGTAATTAGGGAGACCCTCGATTTTGATATTACTTTTATAAGTTAGGCATGAAACCAAACATTAAAAGAGATATATAAATTATGTTTAAGGATTTGAAAATACTTTTATAAGAATTATATATTAAAAAGCATTCGTGTTTGTTAAACCGCTCGTTAAAAATGTCTAACTTTATAGTTTTTTTAGCAATTGTTTTGTCAGTTGAAAAGATAATTTGAAAGAAAATATATTTATACCTGGCTCAGGTTTGCATTTGCATAGAGGATAGATGCCTTCACCCGTCTCATATCCATATCGACAGTTTATGTCACACAATGGATGCTTGTAATGTGACTCTAAAGAGTTTATCATTTAAAAAAATTTTTTTTTAAATAGTTATACCAGTTTAATAAAAGATATAATTTGAAAGGAAAATAAATATGCTTAGCCTAGGTTTGCATTTTCCTAGGTGGCAAATATGTCACATCCATATTGAGAATTAATATCACCCAAATTCGTAACAAAGTTTGCAACAAGTACCAGCCTTAAGGACTCGGATAAAATATGGAAATCGGGAAACCAGAAAATGATACCCATATTTTTTTAAAAAGATATAAGAACCGGAAATATAAATAATTTTGTAATTTTCAGGAACGGTTCAAAAATTGGTTAGAACCGTCATGAAAATCGGTTCAAGTCAACTCAAATAATGGCACGAGTCATTCAAAGGTTCAAATCAACTCAAAAATGGGCTTTTTAAAAAAAAAACTTGAGCTAAAACTAGGTTTATTTTTGGTCTAACGCCCTGATTTATATTTATTTTAATTTTATACTATTTTGCAATTATTTAACAAAAACTTGTACTTCTTTAAAGCCGCGTTTAAAACGCGTAAATGGCAACTTAAAAAGATAATAATCTCTCACATCATTTAAACATTAATGTCAAATTTAGTGTTTGTTTGTGGATGGTTTTATATAAAACGAATAAATGTTAGTAGGTAAATTACGCACTTGAACCATATCTTGGGAGTTTTAAACTTGTTGTCTCAATTGTCTCAACTGTCTCAACTTCTGGCGTAACATTATCTAAATAAAATTAGGGTTTATATTAGTAAAGTATATTTAAAAATTTCTTTTCTTTTTTTTCCAACTCAAATATTATACGATTAAAAAATAGTTTTGACTTAGATTTAAGTTTGCACAGATGACAGGTAGCGACAATTGGCTCATATTCCTATATACAGTGCATCTTATATCTAAGCTCTAAAACATCTTTCTCAGTCAAAAATTAGATTTAAAAATAAATATACCTACTAATATATTCTAACCCCAGAATATCTAGTTTACATCTGCATGAGGGACAGTAACAGTAGATGTAACACTTCTCATAACTTTTATGATAATTTAAATCGCCGCGAAGTATGCAGAAAATATTGCATATTTCGTATACTTTGCCGCGTATTCGCGATCACTCTAAATGAGGTGCCATTCAAGAAAGAGCAATTTTTTTTCATAAGCTATGTCCAAAATATATATATATGTGATATTTCCCAAACTTTAACTTTAGATTTCCTTAGGAATTTTAAAAAAACTTTTGAAATAGGCTTTGACCGTAACCTTATTAACCATTAGAGGGTAAATGTTAACTACGATGTGGAAAAATTTGGTCTGTCTTATGGTCAATAATTTGTAATGGAGGTATATATGTGAATGGCTAGCCAAACCATGATTTTATCATTGTTTAACAAAACATTATTTTCGTGGCAACACATATTAAGCTCCAATAAAATTAATACGATATTTTTTTAAAAAAATGCCGAACCCCCTATTTTAGAATTAATAGTAATTAGGGAGACCCTCGATTTTGATATTACTTTTAGAAGTTAGGCATGAAACCAAACATTAAAAGAGATATATAAATTATGTTTAAGGATTTGAAAATACTTTTATAAGAATTATATATTAAAAAGCATTCGTGTTTGTTAAACCGCTCGTTAAAAATGTCTAACTTTAAAGTTTTTTTAGCAATTGTTTTGTCAGTTGAAAAGATAATTTGAAAGAAAATATATTTATACCTGGCTCAGGTTTGCATTTGCATAGAGGATAGATGCCTTCACCCGTCTCATATCCATATCGACAGTTTATGTCACACAATGGATGCTTGTAATGTGACTCTAAAGAGTTTATCATTTAAAAAAATTTTTTTTTAAATAGTTATACCAGTTTAATAAAAGATATAATTTGAAAGGAAAATAAATATGCCTAGCCTAGGTTTGCATTTTCCTAGGTGGCAAATATGTCACATCCATATTGAGAATTAATATCACCCAAATTCGTAACAAAGTTTGCAACAAGTACCAGAATCTAGAACCTTAAGGACTCGGAGAAAATATGGAAATCGGGAAACCAGAAAATGATACCCATATTTTTTTAAAAAAGATTTAAGAACCGGAAATATAAATAATTTTGTAATTTGCAGGAACGGTTCAAAAATTGGTTAGAACCGTCATGAAAATCGGTTCAAGTCAACTCAAATAATGGCACGAGTCATTCAAAGGTTCAAATCAACTCAAAAATGGGCTTTTTAAAAAAAAACTTTAGTTAAAACTAGGCTTATTTTTGGTCTACCGCCCTGATTTAAATTTATTTTAATTTTATACTATTTTGCATTTATTTAACAAAAACTTGTACTTCTTTTAAAGCCGCGTTTAAAACGCGTAAATGGCAACTTAAAAAGATAATAATCTCTCACATCATTTAAACATTAATGTCAAATTTAGTGTTTGTTTGTGGATGGTTTTATATAAAACGAATAAATGTTAGTAGGTAAATTACGCACTTGAACCATATCTTGGGAGTTTTAAACTTGTTGTCTCAACTGTCTCGACTGTCTCAACTTCTGGCGTAACATTAGCTAAATAAAATTAGGGTTTATATTAGTCAAATATATTAATAAATTTAAATTAAAAAAAAAAAAAATTATTACCATAGTTTTTGACCGAAAATTGAATGAAAAATACACTTGCGAGTAATATCTATATAAATTGTAATAATATAAACCTGTAAATTATGCTTTCATTTAAATCGCAGAAAATATCTTCGAACTCAATTGAATATCTTATTAAATTTATACATTTATGACAATTTTACCTTATAATTTATATTCATTGGCAATAAATTGGAGTGTTGTTAAACGGCTTGATTTGCCGATTTTTAAAAACCAGGAAAATATTGCTTAAACGTCGAGGTTTCGCTAATAGATGTTCAATCCTATGTGCCATCTATGAAGCAAAATCTTTAGACTTGTTTTTCTTGGTAAAATATTGAGTTAGCCGTCTTTAAAAATAGGCTTAAATCGAACCATTTAACAACAAATAATTAGAATGCAATTTTATAAATTACTTACATGCAAGTGCAACATAGTAAAAAAAAATTTTTTAATGGTAATGTGAGATAAAATTAAGAATATTTTTCAAAAAAAATTTTTGAAATTCTTTTAGAGTTATAAAAATAACTGGGTTTTGTGTTTTGTAATTTAGTAATGACAATTTTTTTTTTTAAAAATATAATCTTTTTATTATATATAATTTTTTAAGAAAAAATTAAATAAAAATGAAAAATACTTTATTGAAATAAGACCTTGTCTTGATTTTTTTTTTATTAAAAAGGACATCAATTTTAAACATTTTAAACGTCAAAATAAGAATTTAAGTAAATATCCAAATTTTGTTAAAAATATTATATATAAATCATGAAATTTAATAATAATTTAACTAAATAATGTAAATTCATATCAAGACTGTCACATATTTCTTTTTATAATTCTTTTTTTAAAATGAATATTCATTTTATAATTATTTTAATTTAGCAAATCGAATTTCTAACTAAACAAGATATAAAATATACCTATACCGAAATTACAGGAAATTAACCCCCTTAATTTATGAACAGTTATCTTTATGACCCTTTTTTGCATTTTGTTAATGATATTCTATGACTTTTAAACTAACATATATTAAATAATGCTGGAAAAAATTTTCCGAAATTTGAACAGCAACTGTGTCAATATCAAAAAATAGCACGGACTTTTACACCTTGCATCTAAAATTTTATAACTATAAATACTTTGAAATTTTTAAATTAAATTCTACAATAATTTTCATTCCCTCTATTCGTATAAAATAACGAATAAAATTTTTTTTTTAGACTAAGATATTGTAAACAATTCCACATTTCATGAAAAAAAAAACTAATATTGCTGGAAGATGATCTCTTTTAGCTATATACTCCTTCAAACCCAGGGAAATACGGAATAACAAAATAGTGTAGTTTGTGATTATAGGAAATATATATAAAAAGATAAAGAAAATAATAAATATTTTAGAGTTAAAATTGGAAGGAAATGTGGCAAATGCAATGAATCTAGTTTTTGAATGTAGAGCTCTGGAAGATACATGAGATAAATTTTATTAGTTTTGATATGCTAGTGAGATGCCCCTTTTAAAAAAAAGAAAGATTAGATGAGAGAATAAACAAAGCAATTAAACTATTTCAGAATAAATAAAGGAGGTCATTTCAACATGTTTGTAGTGTTTGCGTAATTGGCTAAAAACTAGCCAATTAGGTTGAGCCAAAAATTAGGCTAAAACTGATTAGTCAAAAATTAGGTATCGGCTAAGGAGCTCGGCTAATCGTTTCATGAACGTTATATGACAGTTTGATCGATAATAACCCAATTCGAGAATTTGTTTTTAATTGGATGGAATACAAATAGGATTAAGGGTTTGGGTTAATTAAAGGTTCGAGAGATATGGGCTAAAGGGTAAGGACAAATTAAAGAGGGTGCTCAATAAAATTTATTCAAATGAAGCAAAAATTATGATATTTATTTATTTATTTTCGTTCTAAATTCTCCATTTTTATACTTTTAATTTGATAGAATTTATATTAAATAAATGCAAAATAAATCAAGGTGACCATACTTTTTAAAAATAAATTTAGACACACTCAAAATTAAATTTATTCGTATAAAAACTTGACAAATCTGACAAGTCACGTAATAATTTCCTTGAGTTTTGACCATTAATCGAAGTTGTCAAATAAAAAAAAAAAATTCGATCAAATCTTATATCGTTTTTATTTGCTTGCAAATTTAATTTTCAGTTTTTCATAATATTTATATTAAATAATTTCAAAAATAAAATAAATTATAAAAATAAATTATTTTTCAAAATTAATTAACATTGAAAAGTCAAAATTTTAAATATTATTTTTTTAAAAAAAAAAATATTTGTAATTTATTGTCATTTGAGTTTTATTATTGAGTTTTACCTTTGTTTGATTTTTTTTTTTAAATTAAAACAACTATATAAAAATGTAAAAATATATAAAATTACTAAATAGAAATATATATTAATAGTATCGAAGGCTCTAAAAAGAGCCTAATTTAATAATGAAAAAACAATTAGTTTTGTAAAAATTTGTGAATTTTAAAATAAAAAATATGTTTAGTAAAAATGTACTTTTTGGTAATAATTTATTTTTTTTATCACCTATTAAATATGATAAATTGTTTGCTAAAAAATAATATTTTGTTTATATATTTATATATATACATATATAAAACACAAAAGTTATATAATTTATTCCTATTTATAGCGAAGAAATTTTTAGAGAGAAGATAATATGGCGAAACCAATTCCACAAATTTTTTTTCCCCGATCTCCGTGAAACCGGAAACACTGGAACGAATGTTGGCGAAAACTTTTGTGGCGAATTTTTGTTTTCGCCAAGTTTTTATAGAGTGAGTAATACTCCCAAATATGAATATATTACTTTTTTCCCGGCAAGTGTTATTTTTCAACTTTAAATCATTTTCGAGCGCGTATTTAGAAAATTTAAATATCATCTACCGGAAATGTAATCCATCATGTTTGGAATACCTACCCTATAAATTTCAGACAATATTTCCCTGAACTTTTGAACTTAATATAATTTATATTCGATTTTCCATATATTTTTTATATAAATTATAAATGATTCAAAGGTTAACTGAAAAATTGTCTGCAATTCATAAGATAAACCATCTCTGATAAATCAGTACACTAAATTGATTCTAAGATTTTGGTACTTTGCATATTTCTATAAGTATAAAAATAACCGCAAAATTATGATACAAGATTTTTTTTTTATAATTTTCCATTCAGGCGCATACGCAACTGAGAGGGAGGGGAGGGCATAGCGACAAATTCTCCCCTCAAAATTAAAAAATAAATTCAGATGCCGGCTAAAATATTCCTGACTTCTACCTCTTTTGGCATATATATTCCAATTTACATTTAACATCGCACAGCGTCTACATGACAGGATATATTCACTGGAAGCTAATCCCCCTTAAAAAACCTATACCTACTCCGCCCCCCCCCCCAAAAAAAAATCACCGCCGAAGACCGCCCTAATTACACATTATTAATTAAAAGTTTTTAATTTAAAATTAAATTATCAAAGCTATTTATACTACTCAAAAAATTGTGATTGTAAAATAGTAATTTTTTTAACATGAATTAAATAAAAAAAACTGCCTCATATGAATGCATTATTATTGTTATATATTGTTTGGTATAAATTACGAGTTTATTGATAGAATCTCTAATTTAAAAAAAAGAAAAACAACTACTCTCTATACAAAAATGATAATAAAATTATTCAATTAAAATGACCTCTTTAAATTTACATTTATTTACAAGGATATATTAAAGGTGATAACATCTTATACATTTTAATACGAAATATAATATTAAATATATATCTATCGATATATTAAATACGAATACCGTTATAATGAATTAAATTCCATTTTATCGTAATTTAGTCGTATGTTGCCACTCGCGCCATTATGATAGACAAAAAAATTTTTTACTAATAATTCTTTCACTTCATGTGTATATATAACACAAAGTACAAATGCAAATAACTTAATTTGAATACAATTTCTAAAACTACCAAATTAACCCGTATCCCCAGATCAAAATTATCAAAAAATGGAAATCTAGATAAAAACTACCTTATGAGGATAGTGTTTCATTTCAAAATTACTTATCCCCCCCGTCCTTCCCCTCAAATTTCAGATCTTGAATTATACTCCTCCATACTTTCAGGGTATTTGTATAAACAGGTAAATATTAGCAATGTTATTGTTATTAGACTGAGGAACACAGCCTTCAAATGTACTCCACAAGTATATTTTTCTTCATTTTAAAAATTTTTATAAATTATAATCAATTAAACTCTTTAAATGTGAATTATTTTTTAGGGTACACGTAGCCGTGCAAATAAAAATTTGCTTCTATAAAGTTTGACGACATCCATTATAGGAAATGCACATTAACTGGCGTGATTCTCTAGTAGATGGTCTTATTTTTTTGTGTAATACATACAAAAATATTTGCCCTATAAGATCGAAATCGGTTAAATCAATTATAACCTATGAAATGACATGAAGAAAGATAATTTTTAAAAGAATATCATAGAAGTTATAATAAACCCAATAATAATTTTTATAATTTGATGACTTAAAAATTTAATATTCTATGTCGAGTTTGACTTAAAAAAGCATTTATATTTATAAACTGCTTCATATTGGTAAACATGAAGCCTAGTCCCTAAAGTTACAATAATTTTTTTTCATCATTCCATACCAAATTATATAATTTTTATTTAGAATGTTCCAATATTAAAATAAAATACAAGAAAAATATGATTTCATTTGTAAAATCAAAAAGTATTTTTAGATGTTCAATGTGAATACAAGATCAAGGACCATGTGACATATGAGAGTGATGTATTCCTCCCAATATGGGATCCTTTGCGTAGCAAATACAGTGGTAAGTGGCGGATTTGCATCGGCAAGTGGGGCAACCTCTTTCATCTTCTTCAAACCCGTAGGGACAATTATTTATACATCCGATTAGTGGACAAGCTAAATTATTAAGAATCCAAATTTAATCATGTACGTAAAAAAAATAGTTAGCGCATAGTGGAACCCTAAATATGACTTTTGCCAGACACCCCCCCCCCCACCTTCTTAACACAATCGAAAAAATGATTTTTTTTTACCGGGGCTATGCGAATTATGGTTCAGAAACAAACAGGGGTCTAAACCTGCCCTGGTTTATATTACCCTGGGCTATATGGGTAATCCCTATAAATCTTTGTTTGGTCGGCGGTCTCAAAATATCTAACCAAACAATTTAAAATTTCTGAATCATTATTTGGGATCAGAGCCAAAATTTTTACAAAGGTTTCCCCTTAACAGAACGAGATATTTAAAATCAAGGTCTCGTGCGGCCGGTCTGTCGCAAGTTTTACCGGTCCGGGTTTCAATTATTAAAAATATTAAATTGTGTTTTTTATAAAAAAAAACAATCGTATACCTAAAATGGGTTTACATTCGCATAAAGAACAAGGACCTACGCCCTCCATGTATCCGTTCGGACACTGAATGTCGCAAGGTGGACAATCTATCGCTAAAGAGTTTTTATTGGTTTATTGATGTAATAACAAAGTATACGTTTTCTCAGTTTAAAAAAAATATATTGAATTATTTGTGACAAATAATTAATACCTGGATTGCATTTGCATAAGGGACAATATCCCGGACCTTGTTCATATCCGTTCGGACAGTGGATATCGCATGGTGGACAATCTATAACTATAGGGATTTATCATTGAAAAAAAGATTATTATAACAAGATAGACGTTCTTTCCATTACATTCCATGAAATAATTATACCTGGGTTACATCTGCATAAGGGACAGCCATCTTCGCCCATCTCATATCCATTAGGGCAATCTAAATCACATGTTGGACACCCTAGAGCAATGCGTTTTTACAAGTTTTAAAAAAAACTATATAAATCTTTCCCAATTTATTTAGTAAATAAACTAAACAAAGAATTTTTTGTATAAATAATAGTATTAGGTTGATTCAGGGAAATGCAATCCTCGCGTTAGGGAATCTAGAACCTATCTTCAGTTAAAAAAAAATTTTTTGTTTATTGATATACTTTCGTATAAATTATTCTGCAGAAAAAATAATATCATAGATCGTGGAATCTTAAAAATATTTTGAAAAAGGTTAGAATTAGTGCTACCAATTTCAGTATCCCATCCATATAAGCATCTTATGCTACATAATGGATACCTTGGTTCTGGATCTAAAGAGTCTTACCAGTTAAATTTTTTTTTAATTAAGAGGATAATAGGATCGAAAAATGATTATACCCGGTTTAGGTTTACATTTGCATAGTGGACAAACGCCTTCACCAGTCTCATATCCGTATTGACAGTTTATGCCACACAATGGGCAGCTCCTTGTCTCTGGCTCTAAAATGTTTAATCAGTTAAATTTGTTTTAAAATAGTTTTCCTAGTACTAAAAGGATGATTTGTTCATCTGTATTGGGTTTGCATTTGCATAAAGGACAAATGCTTTCACCCGTCTCATTTATATTGCAAGGTGGACAAGCCACCACTAGTTTTAAAAAAAATTTCTATATTATAACCCGTTTGTAACCAGGGCTATAAAATATTCTGAAAATTTTGTTATGACGCATTAGAGAAACTCTTATATGTTTGAACCGGTTACTGTAAATTTTGGTTCGGGGTGTTATGGCCCCTATAAAGAAGTTTATTTATGTTCCGGTTTCAGACTTTATTCCTAACAAAGTATGTCATCCCAGTTAATAATTTATAATTAAAATATTTGTTCTTCAAATAATTATACCTGGATTACAGCTGCATAAGGTGCAATATCCCGGACCTTGTTCATATCCGTTAGGACATTTGATGTCGCAAGGTGGGCAATCAATCACTAAAAGATGTTATTAGTTTATTGATATTATAACAAATTAGAGGTATAGCAGTTAAAAAAAATTTATTTATTTCGACAAATAAATAATACCTGGATTACATCTGCATAAAGGACAAGGACCCGTACCCTGCTCATATCCGTTCGGACACGTGATGTTGCAAGGTGGACACTCTAGTTCTAATAAAAAAGAAAATTAGGATTATTGGACGAAATGATTCTACCTATTTTACATCTGCATAGGGAACAGCCATCCTCGTTCGTCCGATGAGGCAACCAAGTAGGAACACCCAAAGGCGTTGTGTTTTTTAGGTTTTAATAAAACCGAATATTATGATCAAAAATGTACATTTTTACGATTAAAAATTAATGAAGTTCAATCTAGAACTCTCCTTGGTTAAGGAAGGATTTATTGTTGAACAATAGGAAATTCATAAATATTTTGAATCGGGGGAAGCCTCTTAATATTTGGGTGTAAATTTATTTTTGAATCGCAATTTAAAATTCAAATATTTACAGCCTAAGGCTACCGTTCAAGTTTTCGTTTCACTTAAAATAAAATTGACTTCCTTAAAAAGACTTGGAAAAACTTATTGATGTTGTTTAAAGAATAGCATATTAATGCAAACCAGATATATTCAGTTTCTAAAATATTTTTCATTCTAGCGTGATACCAATTTAATATGACTACCAAACGGAAACGGATCAAAGAATTGTAAAATTAAGCACCAAACATTTGAACATATCATCAGAATATAAATGCTTTCAGTGGCGTTTTAATCGTAAGGTTGGCCAAAATTTTATTTTCAAATTTATTTATCCTTCATACCTTGTGTCACTGTTTGCAAATTAAATATCAGCTGGTTTGCATTTGCATCTCTTGTCCATATAGACGGTTTATGCGACACAATGGGTATCTTGGTTCTGGCTCTAAAGAGTTTCATCAATTAAATATTTTTTTATAAAAATGTTCTGGTTGTTATAACGATAATTTGATCGAAAAATATTTATGACTGGCTTAGGTTTGCATTTACATAGGTGACGAATATCTTCACCTCATATCCGTCCGTTTAAGCAATTTATGCCACAAAATACAAAATAGGCATTCAGGATCAGTTTATTTTAGGAAAAGTTTTGCCAGTTTTAAATAGATAATTAGATCAAAAAAATGATTATATACCCGGTTTAGGTTTGCATTTGCATAGAGGACAAATACCTTCTCCCGTCTCATACCCGTATTGACAATGTATGCCACACAATGGACAGCTCCTTGTCTCTGGCTCTAAATATTTCATTTCATTTTAAAAATATTCAAAAAATAGTTTTAAAATTTCATATTCGCATTGGCAGCTTATATTGAAAGATGAACAATATACCACTAGTTTAAAAAAAATATTATCTATATTATAACCAGTTTGTAACTTGGACTATGAAATGTTTTCCGAACATATCTTTTTTTTAAAGAAAGTATAGTTCCCATTTACTAAAATTTTGAAAAGTTTGATATGGTTCTTGAAATTTGAAGCAATTTAGAGACAGGTTCAATGTTCGGTTTTAAACTCTTATTATAAATTGAATGACCCAATATTTTTTTGCGATTTATTTTGTCACAACCGGTTCCTGCAAATTATAAGATAGGTTCAGAGGGTCTATCTTCGGTTTTTAGATACAAAGTATATGTCTTCTCAGTTAATAATTTATATTAAAATATTTGTTCAAATTATTTTACCTGGATTACACTTGCACAAGGGACAATATCCCGGACCTTGTTCATATCCGTTCGGACAGTGGATATAGCATGGTGGACAATCTATCGCTATAGGGATTTGTCATTTTAAAAAAATATTATTTTATCAGAATAAACGTTCTTTCCATTGCGAAAATATATTAAATATATTTTTCCAATCACATGTTGGACAGCCTAGAGCAATGCGTTTTATAAGTTTAAACAAAAACATAGTTTTATTTATGACAAACTAATATATATATTCTAAATTAAGATAGTAAAAAATATTAGTATTAGGGACTCAGGAAAGTTCAGGCCTCGCTCTAAAATTTTATTATTTCATCCATATATGCAGTTTATGCCACACTATAGACACCTTGGTTCTGGATCTAATGAATTTTATTAGTTAAATTATATTTTAATTAATAGGATAATAGGATCGAAAAATGATTATACCCGGCTTAGGTTTGCATTTGCATAGAGGACAAATGTTTTCACCCTTACGTATTGGCAACTTATATTACAAGGTAGACAATCTACCACTAATTTTAAAAAAATTATCTATATTATAACCTGTTTGTAACCAGGACTATGAAATGTTCTGAAAATTTTGTTTTAAACTCGTTCTTCAAATAATTATACCTGGATTACATCTGCATAAGGTACAATAACCCGGACCTTGTTCATATCACTTAGGACATTTGATTATAGAAATAAAGTCTGAAACCGTAAATAGACTTCTTTAAAGGTATATAGGGGCCAGAACACCCCGATATCATCTTAAAATTTACATTAACCGGTTCCCAGAACCTGTTTGTATAACAAAATTAGAACATTTTTTAGTCCTGGTTACGGTTATAATTATAGATAATTTTTTTTAAGTAATAGTGGATTGTCCGCTTTGCAATAGAAGTTGCCAATAGCGTAGGGTGAAAGGATTTGTCCTTAAACAAACCTAATCCATACAAACAATTCATCATTTTAATACTGAGAAAACTATTTTATAACAAATTTAACTGATTAAACATTGTAGAACTAGAGACAAGGCGATCATTATAATCGTAAGGTTGGCCAAAATTATTTATCCTTCAAACTGGCTACAATACTTGTTAAAACATACGCACAAACTAGGCATGAAGGTTATTGATTTCAGAATTATTGCTTCCAATTCTGGAGCCAACCCTGTGTCACTGTTTGAAAGTTAAATATCAGCTGGTTTGAATTTGCATAAGCTAAAAATATCTTAACCCAGCTCCTGTCCTCATAAACAGTTTATGCGACACAATGGGTATCTTGGCTCTGATTCTAAAGAGTTTCATCAGTTAAATATTATTTTTTAAAGAATGTTCTGGTTGTTACAACGATAATTCGATTGAAAAATAATTATAACTGGCAAAGGTTTGCATTTACATAGGTGACAAATATCTTCACCTCATATCCGTTTAAGCAATTTATGACACAAAATAGGGATTGGATCAGTTTATAAAAACTTTTTAGGAAAGGTTTTGCCAGTTTTAAATTGAAATTTAATCAAAAAATGAATATACCTGGCTTAGGTTTGCATTTGCATAGCGGGCAAATACCCTCTCCCGTCTCAAATCCGTATTCACAATTAATACCACAAAATGGACAATCAGGTTCTGGATATTTATATTTTTTTAAAAAATTTTCCAGCTAAAATTATAATCGATCGAATAATAGTTATACTAATTGGTTTAGGTTTGCATTTGCATAGCGGGCAAATACCCTCTCCCGTCTCAAATCCGTATTTACAATTAATGCCACAAAATGGACAATCATGTTCTAGATATTTATTTATTTTTTAAAAAAAAGCTGAATTATAACAAAATTATATAAAAAAAAATTTCATTTAAAATAATGGGTCGAAAAATAGTTATACCATCTGGTTTAGGTTTGTATTTGCATAGCGAGCAAATACCCTCACCAGTCTCATATCCGTATCGGCAGTTTATTTCGCAACGTGGATAATCTACCACTAAAAGATTTTATCCGTTCTTAACAAATATTGATGTTACAAACTAAACTAAACATATGTTTTCCGAAAGTGATTCCTGTCATAAACTGCCAACGAATATAATTTCGATTGGACGTAATGATGTTAGCATTATTATTATTAACAATAGAATAATTTTAATTATAAAAAAAGATATTATTATTTGGATGTGGATTGGAACATAAAAGAAAGTATCTTTATTCGTTATTTATAATTGAACGAATAAAATCATTTCCTAAAATTTTGAAAATTTGGTGACAATCTTTCTTAAATTTGACGCCATTTTAGAGAGTTGCAGTTTCCGGGTTAGGTCTAAAACTCTTTCAAAGTCGTCAAAAACAGTTAGAACAATATATCTTTAGCACCGATTCCTTTAAATTTTAAAATGAGTTCGGTTTGTACTCCTTTCCTATGAAGCGCAGTTTTTTTGAAAAAAAATGACATTTCTATTAAAAGGGAACGTCTCTCGTAATTAATTCTGATTTATTTTTTGAAAGAAAGAAAGAAAGAATTCCAAATCCGTAAGAATAGTACAGTGTAGAGAAACCCTAGGAATGGAGTATATTAATTATACAATTAAATTTTTTAATGATCGTGGTTGTCTAACCGATCCTATACTATTTTTAAGAAAGAATTTTTTTTTCATTATTTATGTTAATTAAACATTATTTTAACGGAATACCTAACATATATATTACGCCAAGTAAAATATACATGATATCCAAAATATTCGTACAAATAAAACCTTCTTTTAATGAAAGTATATCAATTTAAAAAATATATATATTACTAATAATTGCCGATTTTATGACATCTCTGGATCTTTTATGAGCTAGGCATGAAACGGTGAGAGCCATTAGAGATAGGAAGATGATACTTACAGAATTCATATTATAGACTTGGAAAAGATTTAAAAAATTTTATTTAAATCGAATTTTTTTTTTTGTGAAAATAATTGTTATAAGATTTAAAATCTTTAAAATAAATATAATGGGCCTTTAAGGAAAATAATATAAGAATAATTATTCAAAATATAAAGTTTTTAACTTATTCAAATTCTCTCCTATTTTAACAAAAAAAGAAGTAGGAAAGAATGGTTGTTGAAGTTATAAATATGAATAATACTCCAAATCAAGTCTAACCACTATTTGGTAAGATTAATAATTTTCCATATTTTCCCTTTTAAAAAAGTAAAAAAGTTTTAAAAAAAACGATATTCTAATTATATTTAGCATAGGTTATGTTATACTAATCTTTAAAAAATAAAATTATTTATTTAATAAATATGAATATTATGTCAATTATATTAAGAAGGGTTGCATGTAACGAAGACTTATAAAAATATCCCCCCCCCTCATTATTTTTATATATAGATGTAAATAATGGTATAAAAGATAGAATTAAAGTTGTTTTTTTTAAACTATATACAATAATTCAAAATTTGATTTACAACGTAAGAAATGATATTCAAAATCTCTTACTTTTAACGAGGTGATTTTGACTTATTAATTCCTGCGATAAATTTAAGGGGTCTTTCCATAACTCGCATCTATAGTAAATTATAACATATAGCGGAAATAATTTATCGTGAAAGTTATGATAACGATAAATAACTAACTTTGAATTCATTTAGTGTTGTTGAAAAGCCCGATTCGGGTCGATTTTTAAAACAAACTGCCAGATTAAGGTTATAACCTAAATAGCATTTTGCAAGCCTCGTAGATATACAATATAACCTAGAACTAACGATGCATTCATTAAAGCGGTACATCAATGAAAACAGCTGGGGACGTCATGATTAGTGTTGTTAAACGGTTTGATTTGAGCCGATTCTTAAAAACGGCTAACTCAATATTTTAGCCAGAAAAATTTTGCCTAAGCCTCGAGACTTCGCTAATAGATGTATAAACCTTTGTGCTATCTATGACCAAAATCTTCAGTTTGTCATAAACTTTTTCTGGCTTAAATATTGAGTTCGTTTAACAACACTAGTCCTCCATATCATTATTTAAAATTTTAAACTAGAGGCCAATTTATTCCTATGTCTGTTGAAGAATTGCCTGATCAACGAAATAATAAGGAAGCAAGTTATCAATTAAATGATAGTTTTCTTAACATGAGAATGATTACTATATGGGTTATCAAAATGGAGGGGGGATGGAAATCCAGCTGATTTGCATTCAACGACTCTTTCAAATGTATTATTATGAAAGCATCGCCAGTCTAGGTATTATTATTATTATATGTCCATGGCAAGCCTAATGATTTTAACTCATAGCTGGTGAGAATGCTTGGAATATCTATTTGGCAAATCTCTATGCTTTGCGTAATATTATTTTAGATAAAATCTTAATCGGGTGCTTTTGAAAAATCGAACCCAAAATCGGGCTTTTTAACAACGCTAGAATTTATCAACAATAGTCTCCATCATACGGATACTGTTAGGTTAAAAGATTTGTAATTCCTCAAATCTAGGAAAATAAATAATATAAGAATAACATGATTTGAAACAACTTTACAATTTATACTAATTTTTTAAATATATATTCTATTTGGGCAAAAGTTGCCTTAAAGTAATACGGTGTTGTGATGATTTAATGAAACATATTGACGATTTAATTTTAAACACGTGCATATATAATTATAACCTTTACAAATGTACAACAAAAGCAATAATAAAAAAAATTTCAATTAATGCTTTGTCTATATTTTAATTATTTTTGCAAATATTAAAATTTTATATGAATGGGTTTGAATTTAATAGTCAATAATTTTAAAATTTCGGCCAAATCTTGAAACGCATAAATGAATGTATTAGAGATTTTTGGTTCTGTGCGTGAATCAGAAATTTTCCCGGCCTGGCACAATTTGTGCAAAATCTGTCTTCGCACCCGGGCAGGACTTGTATTTTTTTAATTTTTAAAAAACACTTCAATAATTCAAATTTATGATTTTTCATACCTCTTAATATTCAAGTATTTATTGGCCGGTGAAATCGATATTACTATATAAACTTATAAGGAAACTAAAATGAAACAGATGCCGCTAACCTTTTACACTTACCCTAACCCTAAATATATATATATATACTTATGTGATATAAATCGTAAAGAAATATAGACCTTAGCCTATTCTCCACAAACGTTAACGGGGATCAGCGGATTATCTACCCGCAAAAAAATCTAGTGCGCATTATTATGTCACCTAAGAAAACTTGATTCACGCAAATTTAAGTGTTTTTTTAGCGAAGGCATCAACAGGCTTGAAATTATTTTCATTAAGTTAATTCTTCTTTATCGTAATTATACTTGTCGTTTAAAAGGGGATTTACACAAAAACTCCTTTATAATATCGAACTTAGGGTTTCAATCTTCTAATAATCAAATCTATTTCTAAAGGACTCAGTGAGACGCGACACGATTAGGAATTTTTGCTAAATGAGGTCGCGGCATTGATTTATCGGTTGAAAATTTAGCAATATTAGTTTTTATGTGAAGCCTAGGAGTAATGATCGACTAAGTTATATATTATTAGATCAATTTTTTTTTAGAATATGAATTTATGAACATTTAATGTAACGTTTGGATTTGCTAGAAAAAAAATATTAAATTATGGTACAATATCTAGATAAGCCCCTACAGGCAATTATCACCACAAATTCGTGAATAAACTGTGAAATGCAGGGTAGTTAGGTATATATTTAGATAAATAATCGTTAATATTTAGACAACAAAAATTTTGCAAAAATTTAGGTTGGATCTTGGAGTACCTTGTCTCAGTATCCCTTATTCGATTTTACTTCCATTGCCAATCACCCACATCCTTATTCGAGTAATCATACTTTGCCACCATACTTTAATCAGTTTCTCCTTCTTAAGTTTCTATCTTCAAAATCTATGATAACTTTATCAAGATAAAATTAAAAAAATATATATATCCTGTTTGACTTCAAAAGTAGGCTACGATGATTATTAAATTAAGCAGTGATAATTTTTATGAAATGATGACATAGATATTTGAAAACGACAATTAATAAATGTAAAAATGAGGATATAGGCTAGTTTAATTTTTATTTTATTATCTAACTTTAATATTTAACAAGTGAATTTTAATAATTTTAAGTATTAATTTATGCCCTAATTTATTGTTTAATATATATATTTTTTTTTACCTTTTTTAAAGTATCTTAATAATTTTTTTAAATTTTATTTGTTTTGTAAAAGAAATTTTAGTTAAAAAATAAGAGTTTTTTTTCCCTCTTCCATTGATCAGTTTCAGATAAAAAAAAAGAAGTAACGAAAAATGAAATTATTATTCGGCCTTTTCTTCCTATGGACTACGCTAGTAAATTTTTATTTAATTTTGGAGAATAATTTTAGTTTAACATTCATTAGATTTTTTATTGATAGAATTTATAAAATGTTGCCAGCAGATGGGTATAGTAGTTTGCCTGATTAATATCTTAGTGTCAACAACTTGTATCGATAAATTATTTTTAAAAAAAAAATGACTGAAAAAATCATGATCAAAATGTCATTAAATTTATAGGTTAGATTATACTTTGCAATACTTAGCAATTCATATTTCGACACTTGGATGTATTTTTCCTTTATTAAAAAATAAAATTTCCTTTAACCAATAACTTAATTATTTATTTATTGCTTTTTATTGATCCAAATTATATTTCCGGGAAATTTTAAGATTTAACGAACGGTCGGCTGACTTTTGTAAAATGTTTTTTTTTTGGATAAATGAATTATTTTAGTGCCATATTACATTATCCACAATAAAAATGTTAAATAATAATTTTATTCGCATTATTACATTGTAATCTTCTATTTAAAATACAAGAAACACCTTTTCTTTTAAATGCTTTCCTGAATCAATTTTTAAAAAAATGGTTATACATTACAATACTCCGATTATGCTCAATTTTGGGAGTATAACATATGCTCTTAATCTTGGAAATAGAGGGAAAAAAGTGATTTGTAAGGTTCTTTGAGGAGTATTTTATTACAAAAGGCGCACCATTATTTTTATATTTATTAGACTTCTAAACAATGTTAGCAATGCTACCGCAAATATGCCTAATCAGGCAGTATGCGTAATTAATCTTATATAATTGTCCTTAAATTGTAGATATTTTATTTTATTTTTATTATACAAACGCTGAAATAAATTTCCGGGAAAGTAAGAATTTTTCAAATTATAATTAAAAAAAAATAAGAAAAATAATTTATTGAAATGGAATTATAAGTGGGAAGATCTGATTTTTGCCGGAAATAGATTCGAGTAATGTCTAAAAATATCTAATTCAATTTGGTCACGAACTTTTGAATATATTTACCAAAATTCTGATTGACAGATATATCAAATCAGGCAATGACATTTAGAGCGATTTCTTATTTATTTATTTTTAAAATTTATTTTGGAATTTTTTTTTATTTATTTTAATACTTCTTTATTGGACATTAAATTAAACTATTTTTTTTTGTAAATGTGAACCAAACTAAATGATCACGTGACTTCTATTATTTATTTTTTTTATCATTTAAAAATCTCTGCCTCCTAATGCGATAATATTCTACTGACCATCATATTTTAGCCAGAAAAATATTGCTTTAGCCTCAAGATTTTGATAATATATGTCTGGACCTTTGTTCTTTCTATGAGCGGAATCTTCAGACATACGTAATATTTTTCTGGATGAAGTAGTGAGCGAGCCGTTTAACAACACTAACAATCACGCCCTACTTAGATCGCATTTACCACCATTTTTAATAAACAAAATAATGATAATAAAAAAAATAATGAAAGTCACGTGATTTCTTATTTTGCTTCCCTTTTTTTCCTAGTTCTATAATCTACTGCCATCTTACACCCAAAGCTGATTTTTTATTAATTTGTACCTTTATTCAAAGTATTAATGGATTAAACAGAGTTTGAAATGCTTAGCTAAAATAAAATCTTATCTAAATATTTTGATCTCTGAAGATTTGTTTAAAAGAAGATTTATTTTTGAGATGATCAAATAGGAATTTTGAAATTTCTGATTCAAAAAAAAAATTTGTGATTTATAAGCGTTAAAACTCTTTCTTCTTTGAAGAAAACCTTCTCATTTTATATAATCTTCAAAGATTTTTTGCGTAAAGATTTGGGCAAAAGAAATCTTCATTTTTTTAAAAAAAAAATTCTGATTAAAATGCAGCTATTCTAAGTTATTTGTTGGAATGTTACTCTCTACAATATTGCTTAGAGAATGGGTAAAATTAAAAACGAAAGTCCGTTTTTGGAAGTAACTAAGGAAAATAATTTATTTAAATCGAAATTAATATAAAAATTCTATTATATAGTTCAATGACAGTTTTGAGTGGCCACCGCAACAATCTATGTTCTCCAACAAAAAAGCTTTTATACCGGCTGTGGTTAATGGTACACACATATATATATATTATATATTTTTGAATAATTGAATGTATATTTTATTTTCTTTCGTAATAAAATTTCTTAAAAATGGATTAAATCATTACATACTGGCTTTACGGTTATGTTTTGGTTAGTCTTATTTCTAAATAGATTGTTTATCCATCTATATAGCTTATGTAGGTATCCCATCTTTGCGACTCTTTCCAAACCAAAATATTTATTACACACTTAAAGCACACCAAGATAGAAATTTTTTTTTAATTTAAAATCTTCAAAAAACAAGGACATATGGCCTACATTAATATTATCTGGTAAGTTCTAAGTTCCAATAGTTCTTTTTCCTGATTGGTTAGCTAAATTAATACCTAGTATATTTGAAGGAGTGTTGTTAAAAGGGCTCGATTTGGGCCGATTTTTAAAAACTCAATATTTTAGCCAGAAAAATATTGCCTAAGCCCTTAAGGCTTCACTAATAGATGCATAAATTGTGCTATCTATGACCCAAACCTTCAGTCTTGCGTAATATTTTTCTGGCTTAAATATTGATTTAGCCGTTTTTAAAAATCAGCTCAAAAACAACACTAATTTGAAGTGATTAATTGCAAAGTATAATCATATCCAAAATGTCTATTTTGAAGCCGGTGTAAATTATAAATTTTATTACCATTTTGGTTAAAACATTTAAATAGATGAAAGAATTGAGAAATTTTATAATAAACTTGTTTCTCTTTAGTGATCATAAACTAAAAGTTTTTAATTTAATCTCAAATTGCTGGCTTAAGGTCACGATTAATCATCTTCAATATTACCTTGGTCTTTAGGGTAAATCCTGGAATTATTGCTTCGCATTAGTTTCCCTCTATTCCATGCTTCATTCCAATCAACTCAAAGAAAAATATAATTCAAAATTAATTCTGTTTGTGTATCCAAAACAAACAAATGAAAAAATGAGTCATACCTATTGGTATCACTTCCTCCGGAAATATAATATCAGACGGAACTTTTAGTTTAGAGCGGCACAAAACTAACACACTTCCAGCTACAAACCAAAATAGTTATAGAGCTAGCCTAGCGCGTGCAGAACATACCTAGCCAGAAAGAACCCTTTAAAAATTTAGATCTTAAGGATTTTATCACGAATTTTGGCGCTTACATTTTTAAGATTAGTTATATTTTTTTTAAAAAAAAGAAATTTTAAACTAATTATTTATTTATTTTATAAAAGTTGATTGTTTTTCGTATTATATTGATATTTTCAGTTCTATCCCTCATTCCTAGGGGAGATGGGTGTCATTTTAAGCCTCGAATTATGGAGTATTATGTAGGCTAAATATTTTGAAAATTAAATAAACTCTAATAAGAAATATCATTTTTTTTTTTTGCAAGAATATAATATCTATAAAATTGATTTAATAATTCTAAACCCTATTAAAAACAAAACAAAAAAAAATGCTTTAAAGAATGCAGAAATTGTATGATAATCAAAAGAGCTCAAGATGCGCCATGTTTCAGTGATGCGGATTGTCCCGGAGGTTCGACATGCGACGTTAGAAGAGGAGACGGCGAAATATGGGGATGTTGTTGTTTCTTTGCCAGTAAAGAAAAAAAAAATTTTTTTTTTCATTGTTAAGTTTTTCCTCTTAGCTTTTTCCTGGCGTATTCCTACATAAAAAAGAAGGAAATTATAAAAATCATATTTCCTTGCAGTAAGGAATATAACAGAGCGATTATATTCACTTTGTATTAAGAATTTTAAAAACTAAAAAAAAAACTTCATCTTTTTATATGTTATTTTTTAAAATATTATTGGTATACATTTCATTTAATAGAAATGAAAAGTGAGTAAAGATTTTTATATTTTTAAAAAAACATATATAAAAATGTATCTTTACTTCAAAAAATTTTAATATTATTTGTAGGAATTCTCGACTTATTATTACTAAATAGTCAAAAATTCAATAAAAATATTTTAAACATAACCAAAAAAAAAACAAGAAAAAAACGAAAAAAACAAACCAAAATAAGATGTCCTAGTTCAAAAGCTTATGCTAAAAGGCAATTATATTAAGCCGACCCTGGGCAGAGCCAACTAAACACATTATCCCCTTACACTCTTCTTTACTAAAAAATAGATAGATGAATATTTTTTTTAAAAATTCGGCATTTTAGAAAATGTTTAGTGCTTTTCACCCTCCATTTTCTTCCTATATTTTTTTTTTAAAAAACTTTAAAAAAAAAAAATTAAGCACCTCCGCCAACTATCGCAGGCATGACGCTCCCGTCTGTTACGGTATCGACGGCAAGCTTGATAAACGTTGTTAGGATATTGGCAGCTAGCTGCTTGATTCCAACGCCCAATTGCAACCCGTGTCCTATGATGGTCACGAATTGCACCATGGCCGTGACTACTGTTTATTGCCGTCCCG